ACTATTTCCTTTGCATGATGATATTAAGTTTAAATCAAACCCACCATGATGAACACGGTGGAGCAAATGATGTCGTCTCTTTACACGCCGATCTTGATTGACAGGAAAGAAGTGATGTGTTGGTCATAGATTTGGGTTTTAGTTTGTTGATTATTCATTTGGGTTCGCTTGGTTTTGAATATCGACAGAGAGAGAGAGAGAGAGAGAGAGAGAGAGAGAGAGAGAGAGAGAGAGAGAGAGAGAGAGAAAGAGAGAGAGAGAGAGAAAGAGGGTGTGGGTGTGGAGCAACTATGCTTTCTTTTTACTTTCTTTTATCCTTTCATTTAAATTTATATATAATTTTTTTAAAAAAAGATAAAAGAAATTCAGAAGGGAATAAAAGTCATTTTATAGGATTAAGGAGCATCTATGCAAATTTTGGAGACCACATAGACCATTCGTATCAAAAATATTAGTAGGGATTGATTTTGTGACATTTGATAAACCACAAAGATTATTTATATAATTTTGCCAATTTTTTTATTTTATACTTGATCACGTACAGTCAGATATTTTGGTTGTTTTATAACTTACACTTACAAATAAAAAAACAAATAATCGGAATATACATGGGAATATACTTACTAAATCAAGAGGTTGAGATTATGCATGTTTAATGCTAACATAACAATGTTAAGTGAGTTTTGTTCTAATGATATCGTATAAAATTATTGTTATTTATGAAGTTATACTACTAATGTTGAAAAACACTTCTAAATTTAAAAACCAGTTTATATATATTTGAGTTTAATTTAGTAGTTTACAGACGTTAAAAAATAGTTAGTATTCTTCTTGCAGATTGCGGTTGTTGATATTGCATATGTTTTCCACATATTATAGAAATTTTGTTTCTTAGAAGATAAAAAAAACCGAAATTTTCTTATTAAAAAAATGTATTTATATATGTTCTAATTATATTTAAAACAATAATTACTTGTGTAAAAATAAAATGGAAAGATATTGGGTTCATTCAAGGGAAAATGACTTGTTAAGGTAACTAACTATTTCAGTTGTCCATATATAGGTAATATTTTTACTTGTGTAAAAATAAAACCGAAACTAACTTGTTTTATTTGTTCACATTTAGGTAATATGACCAGCTATGACATGCTTTCACCTGCTTTTCCCGGTAGCATCAATTAACCTTAGTTAAAGTGAAATACATGGATTCTTACGTGGACATTACACCCGTTTCTCATTTAATTAGGGTTCACCAAGTTCATTTTGTCATAAATCACATCCTAATTAGTATAGATTCATCAAATTAAAGATTAGAGTTTTGAGTTGAAGCAACGTGTTGAAGTCGACTGTAAGATGGCGTCCCCATCATCTACAGGTAAGTATCTAACCGTAGATGTTCATTACAGGGGACTATTTTCCCCAAATCCATTGAAATACTTAGATCACAAAACAATAATAGTGTGTGATGTTGATTTTGGAGGATTTGCATATTAAGAGTTTCTTTTTTGGCTTAGGGATTTAACTAAAGGAAGTTGTAATGATGTGTATTACTGTAGTTGAAAGGAAACCTTAGCTAACGGTATTATAAGAATCGACAGTGATGTTGATTATTGGGAGTTTGTTGAAGCTACTTATACTCCTGAAGTTGAGTTGCATGTCTACATTGACCACCAAAAATAACTAATCCTTGATTGGGCTGACAATAATGTGTTATCATATGGTAAGGAGTATGATTTGGATGACAAGGAAGAAGAGGATGACAATGATGAAGATGATAAATTGGATGATATTATGGCATATGAACATGAAGTTGATGAAGAAGTCCATACCTTTAGCAAAACTATTAGTGATGATTTTTTAAACAAACTTTCAGGTATTGGTAACCTCAGTGATGATGATGAACCTAATGATGAGATAGATGATAAGGTTGTATTCCCTGTCCATGATGAGCAACAAGAATAGGATAAGATGGTGCTAGTAATAGGTATGAAGTTTGCTAACCCAATGCAATTGAAGCTATTTGTAACCAATTATGCAGTGAAGAATGGGTATGATTTATGGTATGAAAAAAGTTATCATAATAGGTTACTGACGAAATGTTGCAAAGGTAAGAAGAATAAGAAGAATAAAGGTTATCCCTTTAGGTTGTGGGCAACCTGGATGACCAATGAAAGGTCATTCCAGATTAAATCTTTAATTTATAACCATCATTTCTCAAGAGTCTTCAAATTTGGGTCCATTGTTAGCTATAAATTAATAGGGAATCATTTCATGAATGAGATACTCCAGAAACTAAAGATGAGTGTGAGGAAATTAACGACTCAAGTTAACAAGAAATTTAATTTGATTGCAAGTGTGGATAGTGAAGAAATGCTAGGAGGTATGCATTTAAGGAGATAGAGGGTACTTTAAAGGAACACTATGCTAAAACTTGGAGCTATGGAGAGGATCTAAGAAGGACTAACCCTGGATCAATAGTGAAGATGGATGTCGATGTGATGCCTGATGGAACCACTTACTTCTCAAAGTTCTATGTATGTTTAAAGGGTGTGAAGGATGGATGGATTCAAGGTTGTAGGAGGGTAATTGGACTAGATGGCTGCTTCTTAAAAGGAATTTGTAGAGGTCAGTTGCTTGCATCTATAGGTAGGGATGAAAACAACCATATCTACCCTCTTGATTGGTCTGTGGTTGCAGTGGAGAGTAAAGAAACATGGAAGTGGTTTGTTGACCTTCTCCTTGATGACATTGAAATGGGAAATGGGCATGGATTGAAATTAATATCAGACCAACACAAAGTAATGATTTTATCTACTGTCTTTATTTAATACCTAATTTATATGAAGCTTATGTTTTGTTTATAATGCTTATAGGGATTACTTGAGGTTGTCAAGGAAAGGGTGCCTGCAGTAGAACATAGACAATGTGCCAGGCACATATGTGCTAACTTTTTGAAAAAAGCTAAGGGACAACAGTTCAGTAAACTTTTCTGGTATGTTGCTGCTTCTACTACCCAAGCTAAATTTGAGCAACATATTAATGAAATAAGGAAGCTAGAACCACTTCCATATGATCATCTGATGGAGAGGGACCCTAAAACTTGGAGTCTAGCATTCTTTGAGATTGATAGGGCATGTGATGCATATGAAAATGGTGTATCTGAGAGTTTTAACTCAGTCATTGATGATGCTAGGAAGAGACCTCTAATCATTATGTTAGAGGAAATTTGAATTTATGTCATGGAGAGATTTTGTATACAGAAAAGTAAGGGAAGTTATTGGGGAGACGTACATATATGTCCTTCCATTAGACAAAAATTATCTAAGATTAAGTCCCTTCAAAGGTTAGTGGTTGTACCATATGGTTATCAATTGTTTATACTTATATATATATATATATATATATATATATATATATATATATATATATGTGTGTGTGTGTGTGTGTATGTCATTCAATTGTTTATACTTACATTTATATGTGTGTGTCGATAGATTTTGGAGAGTTGTACCATCTGGTTATCAAGAATTTGAAGTGAGGCTTGGATATGATGCATATTGTAACAACGCAATTTTCAAACAAAATTTTCATTTCAAATAAAGTGATTTTATTCAAACTAAATATAATTATTCCAAGTTTTTATGTCAAATACAAATCATAAAAATTCCCAAGATCTCAAAATATCAAATAGTGTGTATACATCACGCCGGCGCCTTCCCACGATCCTCGCTAGTACCTGAAACACATACATAACAACTGTAAGCATAAATGCTTAGTGAGTTCCCCAGTATACTACTTACACATATACGCCTTTCCAGGCCCTGACCTTCCGGTCCACAACACAACGCCTTCTGGCCCGTAACATAATCGCCTTCCGGCCCATAACGTATTGCCTTCCGGCCCATAACATATTGCCTTCCGGCCCATAACATATTGCCTTCCGGCCCATAACACATTGCCTTCCGGCCCATATAAACATACACAACACATAATACATTTATCTTACCACATATAGCACATATATCACATATCATATCCGACCTTCCGGTCACACAGTCAAACCCTTCCGGGTACAGTATAGTGAGAAGACTTACCTCGTGGATACTGAAAGCTAGCAACTCCTGAAACCACTCGTACTCGATTCGCCGAGCTACAAACTCCCTATAACATCATATATCTCTTATTAACACTTTTATCTTCCAAGTTAACTGATTCTAAGAAATCACATGTAGGTCAACTCTGTCAACGGTCAACGGTCAACGGTCAACTTGACCAGACTCGGCGAGTCTAGACGTCCTCAACAATTCTCTGAAGTTCCCTTTCTACTTGTCGAGTATCCCTCTTGACTCGACGAGTTCCTCGTGGAAGAATCGCAGGGCCACCCCGACTCCACTCGCCGAGTCTGAAGAACAGCTCAACGAGTCCCAGTTATTCTCCAATCTACTCGCCGAGTCTGTTCATTGAACTCGGCGAGTCCATGCCATGCAGTCGATCAAACTGCTTCCTAAGATCAGAATTGTCCCGACCATTCATAGGTCTGGTCCTCCTAAGCTGGTCCATCACGTAAGGCCTTCATTTAGGTGCTCATGCTACACCCCAAGACTTATAATTTACATTTTGACTTAAGGCATAAGGATTCCAATCCAAAACCTCTCTTAATTCCCGAATGCATAGGCATGGGACATTCTGGACCTCTAAAGGTCCTAATACAGGGTTATAATCGTTTGGGGGACTAGGGTAACATTCAATCTATCCACAAAAAGGGTTCCATAAACCCTAATCCTCTAAACACATCACCATAGCAGAGCATACTCGAATTCTTACCTGGATGATGTACTCTCTGTGTCCCCAATCCTCAGAACGTGACTCCCTTGCTGTTCCTTTAGCCAAACCCTTCTCTTCCTTGCACAACAACTCCTTCACAATCACCAATGGCCTTTAACCTTGCTCTAGATGCACACAATCGATTTAGGGTTCTTCTCAGAAGGCTAAAACGAACAATGACGGCCTGTAAGCCCTTTTTATACGTCCCAAAACTGAACAGCTAGGGTTTCCGCTGAACAGCGCAGACTCGCCGAGTCCATATCTGGACTCGTCGAGTCCAGTCGCGAACCCGCGACCAAGTCTGCGGTCCTACTCGGCGAGTCTGGCTCCAACTCGCCGAGTCCCCTCTTAAAACACCCCAAAAACGTAATTATAACAATACCTGAAATTCTGAGCTGTTACACATATTATGTAGACCTTGGTAAGAAGACATGTGCATGTAGAGCTTGGCAATTAACTGGTTACCCTTGTGTGTATGCATATGTTGCCATTTCAAACCTCGATAGGGATCCCGAGGATTATGTATCACCATGGTTGACCGCAACAATGTTTGGTAATGCATATATGTACATCATTAAGCCATTCAATGGTAGTGATATGTGGCCTGATGTTCATTACATCATGCCATTGCCTCCCAAAAAGAGAAGGATGCGAGGAAGACCATCAACAAAAAGGAAAAGGGATCAAATTGAAAGAAACTAAAGGGCAATAAGCATATAATATCAAAAAGGGATATGGTCATGAGATGCATCATATGTAGGCAAACAGGGCATAATAAAACCAAATGTCCTCAAAAACCAATTGGGGATTCATCTAATCCATAGCCAAACTCAAATAAAAAACCAAGGTTAAAAAAATAAGCCAAAAAAGAAGGTACATGTTCTTCTTTATATTTGATTACAATATAACAATTTGTAATGCTAACATTTAAATTATTTCATAACAATTAAAGTGAAGGTTGAATTGCTCAAGATGTTGATGTAGCAAGTGATGGTGATAGTGAAGTTCAAATGGAGCCTGATAGTGAGGTGGAGTCTTATGAAGTTTATTTTGAAGAGGATAGTCATAGATATGAAGATGTAGACCAACCTGAGGTTGCAGCTGAAGCTCAAGGGCATGATGAAGGTGTAGTTGGAGGGATTGAAGAAAAGGTAGAAGTTGAATTACAGGTTGAAGCACTGGTTGAAGTTGAAGTTCAAGATGGTGAAGACCAGGCTACAGTTGCTGTTTAATGACAAGGTGAAGGTCAAGAAGGTGAAGAACTTGCTGCACTTCAAGATCCAGTGGAAGAGGATCATACGAAAGAAGCACCAGCACTTCAAATTCTATAGGGAATGAGAAGATGGAAATCTTTAGAAAGAATCACGAAAATTCAGATAAGAAAGAAGTGGGAAGGGAAAGAGGGGAGTAGTGGTGAAAATCCAATGGAATTGGAATAGAATTTGGCATCATTGACTGGGAATCTTTTGTTTAGTTATATGTGTAGCTTTTGGACTTTTGTTTAGTCATATGTGTTTTGGAATCTTGTGTGTACCTTTTGGCGGTATTGCATGTGTAATCGTGTTAAAACTAACGTATGGCACATCTTTTGTAAACAATGTTTCCTGGGAATCCAATGTTTGCTTTAATTACATACCAATGTTTGATTATATTACATTCCCATGTTTGATTATATTACATTCCCATGTTTCATTATATACCATTAAAGTGTTTAATTATATACTGTTCCAGTGTTTATATTTCATTCTAATACAAAAGCTCCATTCATTACATCAGAAGCAAAAACAGATAACACAAGTTTGTTGCTTTAATTACATACATAAGCATACACAAGAACATGTGGACTACATCATTCTAATACTAATCAAGTTTCAATCATGAACTACATCATCCAACGATTATACATCATGAACAACATCATTCAACCCTAATACATCAAATCAACATTTTCACATATAATACAAATAACAAAATCAGTTCCATTTTGTGAGTAAACAAATTCCACTTCACTTTGTCCAATTCTCATCTATTAACCAAATTGGTATTGTTTTCTTGTTCAATCTTCATCCTACATATGCTAATTTCATTCTCCAAAGTGCAAATTTTCAAGGTTAGATTACAGCTTTCTTCTAGTTTCCTCCTGTAAGAACTTCTTCCATCTGTTCTCCCTTCATCCTCATCCAGCCATTGCCAGAATTTACAGCTCGGACTTTTTCCATTCTTGAACAAAAAAAATGTTAAATTGAAGGATGAAGAAGAAGAAAGTTGCAACATATTCAACAATATTGATTTACCATCGAGTTTTGACAAACTCTAAATTTTCTTCCAGGGTTGTTAGGAGTTCTTGAAATCTTCACACAAGATGGTAAGCCGCAATCACATGGATGATCAGCTTGAAATTTATCTTGTTGTTTTGAAGAATAAGATGAGGAAGAAGAATCCATTGTCGATCAATCTAGGGTTTAGATATAGGGGTGTAATCGTATGATACAACTCTTATAGTGTAATCGAATGACGATAATATATGCACAATGCCATGTAGGTGCAACGTATTCAAGTCATATGCTAGATAGATGCCACATAAGCAAAAACAGGTGATATCCGGTGATATTACCTAGATGTGAACAAAAAAACAAGTTAGTTTCATTAATATGTACAAAAAAAAGAACATTACCTATATATGGATAACTGAAATAGTTAGTTACCTTAATAAGTCATTTTCCCTTCATTCAACGAATCTGTTTCAATTTATACAAAAAAAACTTTTTTTGACATGTTACTAAACTATTTCACCCATGTATTTTGTGATATATAGTGTATGTTATAAAAATCACAAAGAAGAACAACAATTTTTCCAAACAAACAAGGTTCATGTTGGAAAGAGTGTCCAATGTGATTAACTATTGGTAATATTTTTAATAATAACAGGGTTTTTTTGTGTTCTCCTCAAGACGTAAGTTGAGTAGAACAAATAAATAAGACATTAATTTATTAATTATTATGATTAATAATTAATTAGAAACTAACTGAAAAATATTTTGATAATTAACTAATAGTTTAATTAATTAAAGGGTTGAATATTTATTAATCGATAGTTGGTTAATCAGGAATATTCCAGAATCCTTATGGAATGAGGGTTAGATGAAAATCACTCCATCCTACATGGGAAAATGAGTGAATTTCGTGGTTAGGCTCTCGTACCACGTGGGAAAGAGTACAAAACCTAGGAATGGATTCAATCCTATAAATAGAGCCTTAGGGATTTCATTCTTCCTTGCATCTTGGCTTGACATTTTGCCAACCCTTCTTCCTCCCCTTCTTAGGGACAATTTCTAACCCTCATAGGGTTCGTGAAATTGAACTTTCTCCTAGTTATTTTTATTCCACTCTTTGGTGTCATTGGGTACGATACCATTAGAGGGATTCTGGTTTGGATCCTCTCATCCAAGCAAATTCATAAAGCATCAAGATATCAAGCATGGAGATCAAGGACTACATAAGATGTATGTTTTTCTTCTTCATATTTTTGTTTTTTAATGTATATGTAATTAACATGAAACCATAGATCCATAGGTTGCATGTACACTTAGGTATTTCATAGTTTGATTTTTCGCACTTAAATTGCTTCCTCGCACTTAATTAGAATTAGTAATAGACAACAAAATTTAAAGAGTTTTAAATTTACCCTTTAAATATATTAGAACTGTATCTACTATATATATATATACACACACACACACACATATATATATATATATATATATATATAAGATACTTACAATATGTGTCCTCACATGTTTAAATATTGACATTGTTAGTCTTATTGTGAATAGGCCTGCCCATTGTGATGTAGGCGTTTAAGGAGGTCTCTATGATTCCTAATGAGGTCGGTTTTTAATATGCTTCACGCTTACCACCCTCATCACCCTATTGCATTTTGAGAATGGAGTTATCGAAAGGGTTTAAAAGTGATAATGGTCAATCTAAAAGTATTCTAAATACAAACATAAAACAAAATCCCGTTTTATTAATAGAACGTGAGTCTCATATTATCCATTAAAAGTTCACAATCTCTTTATATTTTGTTGGTGTAGCTCATGTGGCTAACTGACACATCAATCTAGCATATAGTTGAGAATGATATGGAACTCGCGAATCTCAAGTGTAACTTGAGTTGTGGAGTATGAAATTTCGCAGGGTTAATTCACAATCTATTTAATGTGAATCTTATGTTATCCATGAAAGTTACACATTCTCTTTATAACTTGTTGATATAGCTCATGTGGTTAACAGACACGTCAATTTGAGAGCATAGGTAGAGAATGATGTGGAAATCATGAATCTCAAGCGTAACTTGAACCGAAAACCATGCGATTTTGTATAGTAGATTCACCGTTTGTTCAGTGATCCGCAATGACCCCGTCATTGAATTTTAGATGAACATAATCCGTGATTAACATGTCATTGATAGTCAATAAATATCAAAGATCTTGAAATTTTGTAGTGATCGAAATTGGCAAAGTGATTTGCCTACCTAAATAACTTTATGGTGTCATTATGACATCCCTTTACACATCATGGAGCCAAATATGGATCCTAGCATTATAAAATAATTTTATTTAGGGTGATTATTTTCTAAGGATAAGTAAAACAAACTATAATGGAATTTGATATTGAATGATATCTATAACCTTATCCACTAAAATCTACTACTATAAAACTTTTAAACGATTAGATATGAGGATGATCAATCTTATCTAAATTCGTAGTTTGGGAATAGTTCTCATAAACGAAAAGAAATATCATATCTTTGATAAAGCTCTTCCTAGGTTACTCTAAATACTACATTCTAAACTATTAGAAAGAGCAGTTATCAAGTGTACATTCTAAACTGATATTTTGAAGTAAAATGGAAATTCCTTGTGATAGGAGTTGACTAGGGTTAGTCGACTAGCTGACATATCTATATAATTAGTTCATTCTGATTTTGATATGAACAACTTGGAATATCCATAAAGGAGGTATGTAGCGTGTTGAGATTTCCTTTTGAAACTAGCATGGCCAGTCATAGAAACTCAAACTTCAAAACACCCCCATATTTTTACTATCATGAATAGAAGTGTCAATGTCACACCCCGAAAACCGAAGGCGGAAACATTTCCGGGGTTGACTCCACGTAGACTATCAAATCCAATGTACATAGTAAGTAAAGTAAATCAACCATTACATTACATATATGAAAGTTTTACATTTGTTTCAAAAGCATAAGTTATACAAGTGATACATAGTATATATGAACAATACAAAATGAGTCTTCTGAGAACTCCGTCTTCACACAAAAAGGATCCTCGGGTACCTGTCTAACATGGACCTGAGAATACACGCGGTTTGAAAATCAGCATAAAGCTGGTGAGTTCATAAGCGGTTAGTTTTTCTGAAAATGTACGAGTTCCTTTGTTTTCCTGAAAAGTGGTTATCCAAGAAAATCCCATATTTTCTTATGTAAAGTTAGTTTCCAAATCCGAAAGTAAAGTAAACGATGTCTAATTAAAACATGATTGTTCTTCTGAAATGTGATTCAATTGTTTAACTTGTTACACTTCTCTAATTTCGTACTACTATTACTCAGGAAGAACCCCATGTTCTCCTGACTGTGTGTGTGTGAACTGCTACTAGTGTCTACTATGTTCGGTGTCCTTCCCAGGAAAACCCCATGTTTCCCTGACTGTGTGTATATCTTTACCGGTTTTGTTTATGTTCAGTGTTCTCCCCAGGAAAACCCCATGTTTCCCTGACTGTGTGTGTGTGTCTTTACTGGTTATGGTTATGTTCAAATGTTCTCCCCAAGAAAACCCCATGTTTCCCTGACTATGTGTGTGTGTGCCTTTACTGGTTATGGTTATGTTCAGTGTTCTTCCCAGGAAAACCCCATGTTTTCCTGACTGTGTGTGTATCTGCAATCCCTAAATGTACATTAGCTTTACTACGTACATAAAGCTAGTAAATGAGTCTGAAACGTTAATAATCTAGATTGCGAGTCCTTAACCATACTTAGACTGGATATGACTCAGACCATGGTCAGTATCCTTTTTATGACTTTTGTCACCCTTGAACCATTCGGTTCGGCTGTAGCTAGCAGCCAGGTGTGGGATTGTCAGTCCCGTATAGATCTATACACTCAAGCCACGCTCTCCTACGAACGGAGATTCTGGTTACAGGGTTAGTCCCCCACTATCTCGTGCCATGGAAGTGTTACAAGGACGTGTCTCCAATCATTAAGATTACTCTTTACTTTTCGACTAGGAAAGTAGTATTTACAACTGACTATATTCTACGTACCTGTCCTTTACACTCGAGCCTAGGTGTTTTATTAAGGACATTACACTCGAGCCTAGGTGTTATTTAATGATGGTTGTCCTTTTACACTCGACCCTAGGTGTATTATTAAGGACATTACACTCGAACCTAGGTGTTATTTAATGATTATGGTCCTTTACACTCGATCCTAGGTGTATTATTAAGGACATTACAGTGATTTGTGTGTTATGATGGTATTTATCTATCACACTCGAGCCTAGGTGTATTGTTAAGGACATATAGATGTTTCATGTTTTCTAATGGAGTCTGTCTTTTACACTCGAACCTTAGTGTTTTATTACAGACATTACAATGGTTTGTGTATTCTATCAGTTTAAATGTGAACAATCAAATGCAAAGTACACAATATAACAGTGTATAATAAGAATTGAAAATTGGGTTAAAAACAAACAACTCTGCAAGTTAAAACAGTTTGTTTAAAAGGTTTTCAATTCTTAAATTGTACCATTATGAAACCATTCAACTGAAATCATGTGATTGAGTACAATGTTATTCTTGTACTTTTGCTTGTATTCCCCCCTGAAAACATTGAAAAATCATTGAAAAAAAGGGTAGGGGTATGAACTCACCGGACGCGGAAATGTGTCGATTTCGGATGCTAAACGTCGAATCGAGGCCTGATAGCACGCGAGGTTCCTATGTAAAATGAAATGGCATACAAATATATCTAATTAGATTTACAATCTCTAATTAGATATGAAGATACACTCCAACGAACGAAAACACCTCAAAACGGGTGTTTGGAGTGACCCGGGTGACATCTACGGACGGGAATTGAAGCGTGGGACTTGGGATTTGAGTTTACTCCCCAATAGTAAACTTCCTAATTGAGTTTACGGCCTAAACACCCATTCCCCATGAGTTTACGGCCGTAAACTCATAGAGGGGTGGTTTATGGTGTTTAATGGCTCACAAATGGGTATGGACACTTGGAAATGCTTGGAATAATTTTAACTAAGGCTTGGATTGAATTAAAATCATCAAATACAACACTTAAGGGAGTTTACGGCCTAGGCATGGGATCTTTGGCCGTAAACTCTCAAATCCCCTTGATTTAGTGTTTTTA